TGAAATTTATTAGATAATTATTAATTAAAAAATGTGATCACAAATTAAAAAATTAAAATGGATAAATTTGTCAATAAAATTAAAAAATTCTAATCCACTAGCAGTTTGGTACAAAAAGCTACAAAAACTACCTTTTTCAATCTGCTAGCGATTTGGACCCTAACCGCTATCCGCTAGTTTTAAACCGCTAAATAAAAATTTTACCAAACACTTTAGTTGTAGCGGTTTCGAAATATATAAATTTACCAAACACCTATATTTAACGGTTTAGGTAAAACCGTTAACCGCTACCCCAAAACCGCTATACCAAACGGGGCCTAAATTGATTTTTTCGTTGTTGGAACTTATATGTACTATCCTCATATATTAACCATGCTTATATGTAAATTTTATTTGTACATTCACATTCAAGTCTTATATACCATGTTTACACTAAATCTTAACCATTCATCTCTCTATTTAAAGTGAAAAATATAATTATCTTTAATAAATATAAATAAATCTTAATTATTGAAAGTGAAAAGATAAATAGTTGAAATTTTATATAAGTATGGTATATAAGAATTATATATAAGTGAATCCCTACTCATATATATAAGGTTAAATCCCTAATTTGGTCCCTGAACTACTGTACGGACCCCCGATTTGGTCCTGAACTAAATAAATCCCTAATTTGGTCCTTGAACTATTGTACGGACCCTGAGTTGGTCCCTAAACTATTGTACGGACTCCTAAGTTAGTCCCTAAACTATTGTACGGATGCCCAATTTGGTCCCTACTGTTTACCAATTTAACCCCAACTTGGTCCTTCTGTTAAATAATAGCTCAGGGACCAAATTGGGGCGAATTTGTAAACAGTAAGGACCAACTTGGGGGTCCGTACAATAGTTCAAGGACCAACTTAGGCCAAATTATAAGCAGTGGGGACCAAATCGGGGGTCCGTACAATAGTTTAAGGACCAAATCAGGGATTTCTTTAGTTCAGGGACCAAATCGAGGGTCCGTACAATAGTTCAGGGACCAAAATGGGGATTTAACCTATATATAATAAAGAATAGTCTATATCAGTCCGACTCCTAATAA